ATTAACACTAAACGAATATTTCTGAATTGAAATTTATAATTAAATTAGGCGTCTCGGATTCTTTAACGTTATAATTTCTGATGATTTCGAATCACCTAAAGCAACAATACCTATTTTTCCACTGACTAATCCTTAATCAACACTATAACTAGTTAAATTTAATAGTTTCAGGATATCGTCATAAAGCATTGTCATAACTTGACAATCACGTAATATGATTGATAATATTAATGAAACTATTAACATAACCGGTCTTCAAATCGACTTATAATTATCACTAGTGTTGTTTTTCTTTTATCTTCATTCACTACAGATGATTACAGTATGTTTCTCTATCAGTTGCTCATTCAGTAAAAATCTCAAAACCTTGTCAGTCTAATTGATGGTTTAGCGACACAATCATGCATGCAAATAATCAGTATAAGCAGTCGAGCAAATCTCCTGTAAACTGAAAACATCAATGTCGAATTTACCCCAACACTGACTAAGGTTCAAGCCATTATCATAGACATGAGTTGGGAGTGTACTCCCCTTGGTTACAACTTATGTTCTCCCTGTTAATCACATGAGCATCACTCACTACTAATCATCTTGTAAAAACTTATTTAGCTAAATACATCTTGCAGCACCACATCACTTCGTAATATGACACAGGCCTAACTGATTTTAATAACCTATAACCACTATATCTCAATTTAATCGTATTTCGCCTTATGATAAACTGCATACTTGCAACTAACTTGTATGCCCAATCAGCCAGCAAGTATAAATATAAATAAATAGTCTGCAGATCAGAACATTGAGTCCAGAGCATGTCTCTTACGAATACACTCATGTTTAGCGATTTGTTCCTAGCTATCTGTCCAAAATTCATATAATTATCACTCACGTATTTGAATTTTATTTTGGTAACCATTCATGTGTATTAGTAGTATTACCAAATTCTATCACGGCCAAGTAAAAATGAGGTTGAGAAAATCTCCCCGTAACTAAATAAACCGTATCAAACTAACTGGAACACTAGTTGGAATTCTTTACCATGGTAATACTTTTGTTCCTTCAGTTAGCCTACTAATACAGATGCAATTGGAATTCAACTCTTATGGACAACTTACCGGCATAATCGTTATCTGATTTCATAATTTAAACCAAAACTAATACCAATATTAACATTTCTACAATATTCATTACTTTAATATTTCTAAACACAAAATACTTACTACCTATATGTCAAGTTATTAACCAACGGCTATTAACACGCATCGTTATAATATTATTATTATAATCCCATTTTTTATAGCTCAAATAATCTTCACCCAAATTGTCATTTTAAGTGTGTTAAGCATGAAGGCAGATTTTTTTTAAAATATTATTACATAAATTTCCCGACCAGATGCTGCCGCCTTCTTTTTGATTTATCTTTCAGCTTACCAATACCCGGAGGATTCTTATTATCCTTGGCAACCTCCGGCGCTCGACGATCCCATCCAATTTGGTATCGAACCAACATCACGTTGATTCTGGTGGGAGAGTAGTGTAGTGGCATTGGACAATAGCCACACAATCCACAAAGCTGTGAACACGAGACTACTCAGAAAATAAATATTCAATATTTAACGCCGAGAAATACCTAAAAATGGAGAAGGCGCGAACAATGAATTGAATGGACTGGAGTTGATCGAGTGGCATGGCTCGGCCATGCAGGCGTGGTCTCTATTCATATTAAATATATTGTTCTTTCTCTAACCTAACCTCGTTCTTCATCATGTATTGGTAATTGATACGATACAGTGAGTTGGCGTAGTCGATGGTGTGACTTCCACGTAAGATCTTATAGATTAGGCAGTTATATCATGACGAATCTACAAATTTAGGATTAGGTCTATTATTAGAGCAGTACTAATATCATAGTAGACCATAGTTCTACAAGTCAACGACCAGTAAATGATAGGGCGTAAGCCTATAGATTTATGGTCTTTTCAAACACAAGCAGATCAATCTTTTTAATATAATAATAGACAAAATCCAAAAAATGTAGATTTGTCATGATGTGACCATTTAATCTATGAGATCTTACGTCACACCATAGCCCACACTAACTCATCCTACGTGTCAACCAGCGATATGACGACCGGTACTTCTGAAGAAAACATTTTTACTGTTAAGAGAGTAATATTCTAGATATAAAAACGAGATGGTAAATTGTTCATAATTTTCTCTCTCTGTCAGTGATATTTTTCCTTCAATATGAAGTTATTGAAAATAGAAACACATTTGCCTCATAGTAGAATAAAATTCATGTTTAAAATTGATTCTAAATTAGTCATATAACATATAATCATAATATTTGGAAGACACTTTTGATCAAATATCTGCTACATACTCGTGTCTTTTTTATTCAGAGACCGTGTTATAAGCCATAAAGCAGTACGAAGCATACTCCCGTCCATTATACACTCCCTTCGGCCTGCAGTATGACACCTTTCATACCACACAAGTGACACAGGTTAACAAAGGACAACAAAGCTTTTAGAAATGGTCCCGAGACTTTGTCATAAACTAATCAACCAGGACTGATGATGAGACAGTTGAAGCTCGACCACTATAGAAAACCTAGAAGCACTGAACGACCGTTTCGTTCTGTTGTAAGGCTCAGCAGTGCGCATCCACAGACTCGCCTCGCGGGATTTGAACCCAACGCCCAATGATCTCGCGCGAGGGCAATTAACCACTGGACCATTGAGCCGGCATCCAACGGTGTTAATGTCTAACTTCAACTAATCCACGAAATTGAGCGACATATACACCATTGTCATTAGTCAGTTACTATCTCACAACAGACCTGGTTGAACTCCACTGGCTACTGCTTCCCACTAGAACTCCAGGATATACATCTTGATGAAGCCAGTCACTAGTGAGCATATGTCGATTAGTATCAGAAGGGGTTTTGTGGAGATTTTATTAATTTCAATAGTTGAGATCATGAGTCAATTAAAGCTAGACCACCATGGAAAACCTGGAAGCACTGAACGGCTGTTTCGTCCCATTGTGGGACTCATCAGCAGTGCGCATCCACGACCTCGACTCGAGGGATTCCAAGTAGACGATCGACGTACTCAGTAACTTCAGAAGTTGACGTAGACCAGTCATAAGGTATTATTTTGAACTTAGAGAAATAGGAATGCATCCGAAAAATGTTTACGTTTTCATTCAAGGCGATCAGTAGAATCTGCAGTTTAGTATCTTCACGAAACAAAACCGTCATCTGCATGTTCTAAACCGATAAATGATCTTGGTAAGGAATCAACTCCTGAACAGTTATTTCTAAGAGAATATCTACAACCAATTCAAGTAAACAGTTACATTATTCAACCCTGATGAACACTTGATGTTAACGATTTCGATGACAATTCTCCATACACTTCTGATTCAACCAGTAGTATTTAATTAGAGAGTCTACAAGGTTAGTAGTTCTTAAATATCGTAGGGGCTAATTTATCATGACCTACTCCCTCTCGCTGTAGATTAGTTGTGGCCTTCTCGATTTTATTAAGAGTCGCGGGCTTTCGACAATGTCCCATTCAAGTTATTCGGTAACATTAAGCAACTAGAAGGTATCTAGAGCCAACTTGAGCCGTTTTTTAAGGTATTCTGCGAATCATCCCGATTTTCTGGTCTGAAAATGTATCAATGTCCCATATTTTTCATAAATATCATTAACAACTACCTTTTTAATAACTATCTCCTTGATGAATTGAAATAGTTGTTCGCCTTTTCAGTCTCTTTTGCTTTCGCTGCTCACTGCTACTCACAAGCATTCCGTAGACTTTTGCCAGTCTATGTTTGAGTTGTCTTTGCTCACCATTGTATTTTGAGCTTGATGGAATTAATTTCTGAACATCTATCGACTTAGTGAACATTATAGAAATCCAATGATGTTTCATAACCTTTTGGTCCAAGCCGTTGGTGGATGTCACTGCTGATTCCATAGCTTTTTGGATATTATATCAACCTACATTGGGGCGAACATTACTTTGTCCATTGACCAACTGGTTTAATAGTTGGTACTGAGATAAACCACCACTGAATTAACCACTTCTATGGATCCAGTGTTCATCTTGTTATGCTAATGAGGTATGGCAACTTGGACCGATGCACATATGTGCCTGGTCTTACGTCGTAGCTGACTGACTGACTGGAATATACTCTTGACAGTTTCGCCGTTTAGCTGAAATCTTAGGGATCTTGATTCTGTGACGCTTCAATACCCTATAAGACAGGCAAATGAGTTGTCGTTTCCTGGTTACTAACATTGTTGAGAAATATTTGTTCTTGAGGCACTTGCAAAGAAAACTTGTTTAAAATTGGTTTTTACAATCTGGAAACATGGCTCCAGCATCCAATGGATAATTGTTTGAGATCAATCACGCATGATTTCCTTTAGTAGTCCTAGTTAGCTCTGTGCTTAAAAAGCTTTATAGCTTGCGACGTAAATTCATGGGACAAGACGATGTGGGTGGCTCTCAGGGTCGAACTTTTGCAACCCGCTCCTCGTCTCGGAAAGGCAGCGTCGCTACAGAATCTGGTTGCCTGAAGAAAAAATATTTTTGCCGTCACACTCCTAGGCAGTCGGCATTACGACTAAGTCCTCGGACAGAGTCCACCACATTTCATACTAGCACTCTCAAACCGACCTACCTGGCATAATAGATGGTAAAAGAACAAATCCTCCCGCCGATTTAGTTCGATTGGGTCACTGCAATACATCAGCTCTACAATTGCATCAAGACAACAACTGTGGTTATAAGACTATGAACTACCTAAATATTGTAGTAATTAATTTTTTCAGATACCCTGACTGACATATTAATATTTATATTTAATTTTCTACAGGTACCTATGATTCAGTTAATTCTTCCATATCCGAAAACCGTTCCCAGTACTTTGCTGTCGTGGCTATTGCAGGGAAACAGTTCAAAGTAACTAATAACGATTTAATTATGATCAAAACACCGTTCTATGGAACTGACGTTGGTGATCGTGTTCAATTACAGAAGGTCCTACTTTTAGGATCATCAGACTTTACTATTATCGGTCGACCAATTTTACCAGTGCATCAGGTGTATGTTGAGGCTGTAGTGATTGAAAAAACTCTTGGACACCCTAAAGTTTGGTACCAGTTCCATCGTCGTCGTAAACACCACAAACTGCGAGGTAAATTAGTACTTATTTTTTTCACATTCTTTTCAGTATTCCAGGGGAATGTTACTGTCCTTCAGATTATTGATGTTCGTCCCAATACATTAGCAACTCATTAAATTAATCCTTGAATATACGCTTACTCGTTAAAAAATATTTAGGCTTTTGTATACTTTTAAAAATCCGTTTTCTGCGATTTTTGTTCATTTGAAGTATTTGATAGTGTAAACTACTGCGGTACTCAAAAAAGTATATATTCTCCGAATCATGTCAAAGTTTGTTTCTTTCCCTCTCTCTCTGTCGATGAAAATGTATTTTCATCATAACAGGCTCGAAGGAAAATAGTCTCAAACTTTGATTTCATAATATGGTAAAATGTCTAGCTTAAAGCATCAAGAAAAGGCAGAGAGCATGTACTTTATACTTTTCATGGTATTGTAAAGTTTATTACTGTAACGTTAGTCTTTGTACTCTAGGATTCTGACAGCCTTCATCTCAGGTTGAAATGACAACATGTTTCTGATTTTCCCTCCTTTCAAATGAAAGATAATATCCTATGCTTTTAGAAGTGAGTTTCGAGGGTGGTTACTTGACCTTGGTTACTCATCATTCTGCGTATTTCAAGCGACTATTTCAAAGTCAGTCATATATGAAACTGTTTTTATCGGTTTTAATCTCTTCAAAAGCTCGTAACCCAAACTTAGTGAATATTAAGAATCAAATAATCATAAAAGAAAGCATCACCCTTAAAATCTAACAGTTTGTAACAGGTTTTATTGGCTTATAATTTATTTACTGGACAACAGAAGTTAATTAAAAGTAAAAGTAAAGTTTACCAAGTATTCACTCATTGTTTGGTCAAATTTTTAATTGCCATATAAATTCATTGGAACATTTGTTGACCTCAAATATTGTGACTTTTTGGAAATACTCGTTTTACTGTATTATATTTAAACATCTATTTGATGCGTGAAAATGCTAAACATTTCTTAATAAATCCAGTAGTATATCATTTATAAAATCCAAAGAAGGGATATCCAATCATGGTTCTTCTATTTGTTAATCGCTTACATGACATTATTATCTCCTCCATCTTGTGACTTCAAGTGTCATCAATTCTCTCGTCTATTATTCGCCTTTTAACTAATACTTTTATTCGAAAACTACCAAAAGTCAACAGAATGAGCTTCCGTTTAGACTGGTTGATAAATATATAAGGATTGATAGTAACTGCCACCTTAATTCCTAATTTTGAATAACAGAACGTTTCAAGTAAAGTTTGCTAAATATTGAACGTATAGTTTCTGAACTTGGTCGGGTAGAAAAAATGTCTGTCGCAACAACAAGATGTTTTTGTCTATATCACTTTGATGGAGATGTGAACCATTAGAGCGTGACTCTGATCTCAAAACATCGTGCCATCTAAGAGATTTGAAGGTCCTGAGTTTAGTTGAACGTGAGTTTACGAATGCACTATATTTAAGCATTCTAAACTGAAACTCGACCTCCGTTCAGCGCTAACTAGTTCTTGAATTCTTTCCAGCTGATTTCAGCCTGCCATTGAAACTATCTTCATAAATAGCCGGAAGTTGGTTTCAATGTCACAAGTTCATTCACTATTTGTTTTCCTCCAAATATCTAATATACATTCTAGTTGTCTTTTTTCCCTTCTAAATCCACAGTATTGTTTTCTTAACGTATCGGCATATGTATTAGTTTCCGATTTGTATTGCAAAGTGTGACAACTTTAACCAACTCGTCTTTGTGGAATGTTATACATTTTTAAGTCAGTGATTTGGACGAATTAAAGAAACAGGTGATTATTTACATGGAATTAATCTTTTGTTAAGTAATAAAATCTATTACGTGATAAACATGATGGTGTATATAAACTTATTTGACGGGTTTACTTGTCTACCAATGTAGTCAAAAATCGCTTCTGAAAAAAATAAATCAGTTAAATATTAAGATTTCAGTATTTGCGAGGAGTACTTATTTTCTACTTCCAAATAAATCTAAGGGAAGTTAATGCCTTTTTACCCATGGAGATTGACGAAAAGAGAGTTCTGTTTCTAGTAAAACACGATTTTATTGTTTACTCTTCTGTAATTGCACACAACTGATAATGTGAAATAAAGCAATATATTTTATTATCAAGTTTGCCGCAAAAAGTATCATCATTACCTTCATTGTTTATCGATATATTAGCGAGAGTGCTTGTAATAAAAGAATGCTATGACAGTCTCCTGGCGGCAATAATAAAGTTTATTTTTTAGGATGATGTCTTCTATTCATATAAACTCGTTAACGGAATAAATTGCAGTCAATAATAATAATAATAATAATAATAATAATAATAATAATAATAATAGTAATAATAATAATAATAATAATAATAATAATAATAATTGTAAAGCAAAACATTGACAGGCCAGATAAAACATAAACGTTCTATTATTATACGTGGTAATTTGATTTTGCGCCTGATATAAAAGCTCATATGCAATCAGCCACTTGCTTAGAAAATATGAGAGTAAGGGTGGAGCTTTTTGCAGGATAAATGTGCACTCGTTTACATATACCTTTCTTAAAAAAATAAATACGAACTTTCAACTAATGGCATATGTTTTGTTCCTCAGATACGGCAGCCGGCGCCTGACCAACAGCTTGCTGTTATCATTTGGCCTGTCTAATTGGCCAAGTGCATCACATATTGAATCACAAATATCTTCAGTAAAAGTTTTTATTCCAAGTGGCTTATGTTAGAAAACGTAATATAGCTAAATAAAAATAAATAACGACATTAGCTCTTCACATTAACATATTCCGATTGGTTTCGTTCCTATTTCCAATGCTGTGTAAATCTTTATGCCAGGAGATTTACTCTCAATCTTGATAAAAGTAAATGTTTATGTTAAGTTTTTTTTATGTCCGACAAAACTCTCTAATGTCAGGTGTATTCTGTGCAATATTTAGAGATTTCAATATCATAATTTTTGCAATCTTCAATTTATCACGGATATAGTGGAAATATAAAAAATTATGCCTGTTCAACTAGTTAGTCTATGTTTGATGATGAATTATCACTCTACCGTAAGCTAAGTATAAATGTAGATGGCGTTCATCAACCACGACAGCTCATTTATTTTAGTTAACTCTTCTGTTGATGTTAACGATTCAAAAAACGTCTATTTGACATTCTCTTGTCAGTTAGCCATTATCAATAGCATGCGGAATATCATATATTTGTGTGTTGCTAGCATTCTCTTCAGCATAAAAAATATAGGTTATACATCACGTGTAACAACACAGTCTGGCAGACTATATATTTATACGACATCCAATTCTTAATGCTCTCTATCAATTGGACTAATTCTTAAGTCATGGAGGTTTAAGTATTGCACATTCTAAAGTCAAAAAATAGGGGGGGGGGAAATATAGCTTTTATCTAGTAACAATGTCAGTCAAACCAGCATTCCAAGTTTTAATTGGTGACTATTTTTAATAATAACATATATATTCCATCAGTGACAGAGGTTCAGGAAAAAAGCTAAAATCCAAACATCATACATGTGAGCATTAATCAACTGACTAATAGAATAATGAGTTAAAATAAGTAAAGATCAATCGTTAAAGTCACAATGACAAGAGGATGCGTCTCTTCAGTCGGTCTTACCAATGTAAAATCACTGTCTAAGTCGGTATTAAGTACATTTATTTATCCTACTAGAATAACAGACGCAACCTAATATGGTGGAATCGCTATGATATGACTACCTAATCCATACGATCTTATGTAGAAGTCATTTTATTATTTTCATGCTGACTTGTCTTATGATGACAGTCGGTAGCATACTTTTTATGAACTTATGAAGAACACTTTTCGGCTGGGGGATATGATTATATATTTGATATGTAAAGGAAGAGGTGATACATAGTGACTACGCCTGCACGGCCGAGTCATGCTGTCTCGATTGAGTGTTTTGCGCTCACCTCCTATGACCTTCTCCAGATGTTCAACAGATAATGTAAATCTTCCTAACTACTGTTTGTCCAGCTTCAATGATTGTGTGGTTCCGCATCAGTCCCACTATACAATTTCTGTAATTACTCGTATATCCGTTACATCTCACTGTACAAAGTCAAATCTTTTCGGTCATTTTTCGAATTTGCCGATATATTTTTTAATTCAAGTTATCATTTGTTTCCACTACATGCATATGACTGGTAAGTTGGAGAATATGGTATTCTTGCAGTGTTTGGAAAAAAACAAGATAACAAAAACTATTTCAGCTCGAGAATAATATTCATGATAAGGTATCGATTTTATTGTATAATAGAGGAAAAAAATTTTTCCTGACTTATAAAATGTTCAGTTATTTGTCGATCTCCATTGGTTAAGGTTATCGACTTCAAATTCTTAGTTATTCTTTATCTACAAAGCTTGAGGAAAAAACTGCAGAGTTGGTGAGCCATTTAATTGGAAATCAGTTTGTACACTTACTATTTGTATTGAATAAACATTTGGTCCTTACAATAAATTATAGTGTAGTTTGGTTTTCATCAGTTCGGGCTACAAATCTGATCCACTTCTGACTGGTTTGAAATTTAATTTGATGACTTAACGTTGTGCCCCGTTCTCAAACGCACAGTTAGATAAAAATTAATACGATGGAGGAAGTGGAATAGCTCTAGTTGGTAAGAATTTAATCATTACACTTAGCGACCAGGTTGAAAGCAAATTCTAAGTACGTGTCATTTCTTGGCTTAAATCGTACCAAAACTTGGATTAAGAAATCAAATGTCTTAGTACAATTCAGGAATTTGAAAACGAAGAGTATTAAAAATATATTAAATCAGAATGTAAACTAAATTATGAAGAACGTTCAGAAGGCCTGACCATATTTGCTTTTACAGAACGTCTTATATGTACTATAACAAACAAGATATGTAATGTCAGATTCCCACTAATGTTGTTTTATCATAATACTGTGACTTATGCTAACCACAAGTTGTTTCAGCACAACACCCTATTAACTATATTAAATATGAGTTCCGGCTGTTGTATGTATGTATATTTATTCAAATTTAGATGCCTTGAATTTTTTTAATAGTAATTTACAACCGAACTAGAGAAAAAAGGTGGAAGTTATTCTGTAAAATCGAATATTTCTTTGCATTTATAAGAGAGCACATGATGATGGTTGTTAATTTCGTTCAATATCTTGTTGGTCTGTTTAACGACCAATGCATTTTTGTTTTTTTCAGGTGACGTCTGGTGTTTACAAGTCATGTAAATATCTGAGTAGTAGACATATTTATGAGTACGGCTAACACAATATTTCTTCTTTCGTCGGGTAAAATAGGTGTTGGAAGTGAGCTTTTAACCAGTCTCCAAGGGCACATGAGTCAGTCAGTCAGCTACAACGTAGGACCAGGCACATGTTCATCGGCCCAAGTTGCAATACTTCATTAGCACGGCAAGATGAACAGCGGATTCATAGAAGTAATATATGAAAGAAAGACTGCATACAAGGATATAGTACAGGGAGAAAAACTAGTTCGTAGAAAGACAGATATGAAACGATTTTAATTTCATAGTTTAAGGGAAGATAGAGAATGCACATACCTACACCATTTTGATCGATTCTGAGACATGTCCCCCAGAGTCTCCAACGATAGTCACGCAGATCCCAACCAAGTAGTCTACGTCTACCAACATGGCTCAGACCAGAAGTTAGTGACTTCAGGCACTGATGCCACGTTTTGGTTTGGCTGCCCCTTAATTTATCCCAACCGTCTCCAACACTAGTCAGCATTACTTATCGTGGTAATCTGTGTTCAGGCATACGTAACACGTGACCTTCTCCTTCTTCATTTCTT